ATAAGTCTCATAAAAACAATAAAAATGTTCCCATGGGTATCTAATAGAATTTCCATTAAATTTATTCTCCCTCAATCCCGCTAGAATAATATTCTTGATATCAAAAGTCATTGGATTGGCTGGTAGGAAGTCTAGAGAAATATCTCCAACATCAATTATCCTGCAATAATTTCCTATAGTCTGCATGTAGTGTAGAAGAATTGATGTTGGACAAATTTCTTGACCAAACACGTGGTCTAAAGGTATCGGTGTTGGCTCTTCTCGTTTCTTTTCTTTTTCTATATGTGTTAATCGGGTTGCTTTCCAATTGACTCTTTCCATCTTCTTAATCTCCAAATCAAATGGAAATGTACCATTTATTTTCACATTGATAGCATGTAGAAGTGAATGATGTCTTTTATTCACTTTTATTTTGCTCCTCATGTTCTCCTTCCTCATTTGTAGTAAGCAGTTTAACTCCATCTCAAGTTTTTGTAATTTACCAAAAAGTGTGTGTGTGTGTGTGTGTGTGTGAGTGTGTATGTCCATGGTTGCTAAAACCCTATATTTACAAATCACAGTGACTTTAGGTTACCAACTACAATTTAAGAATCTAAGAATTTTCACAACTAAATATTTATTTTGAAAATGTTTTCCCTAGAGTTTACATATGACTCACGATATGGATAAATCTTATTTGCATTTGATTGGTGTTCTCTTCCGGTTTCATTTTGAAAAATTCATAATCATGAATTAATGTACCCAACCTTACGTTTTTTTACCTCAATAGTTCCTTTATGGGTAATTTGGAAGATGTTTCAGATTTATTTTGTAGTCCCATAGTGATAAACTCACAAAAAACTGCTTTCCACATTATATTTATAATCTTTGCTCCAATTCTTTCTAGGTTTGTTCACTATAGTACCATCAACATCATGTGTAGGAATAAATGTTTGCCTACTATTATCCCAAGTGATTTTCTTGAGAGTTTTAATAACAATATCAAGCTTTTACACGTTACATCTATAAACCTTCATTACAAGCGAAATGAGAGATTTTACATTGGCTTATTCCCCTAACCAAACAAGAGTTTTTCCATGGGCTGAGCTCACGAACCAAGTAGAGATTTTAACAGTTAATCTCAATAATTAAAAATAACTTTTACCATTCTGAGTTCTAGAACTAAATAGATATTTTCACTGGTTTATCTCTAAAACCAAACAAGAGCCTTCAAGAGAATCACTCTCTTGAAACAAACAATGGCACGACCCCAGTACAACACTTTATTTACAAGTAGTTTTCACTCACAAGGCACTAAGACAACTTTGGTGAAAGAAAAATATAAAAGAGAAAGGAGAAGAGTAATAAAATCATAAGAAATAGGAACACTCTGAATTCTGATGTGATTTTGAATGAGGGTAGATCTCCTTTAAACAGGAGAAAATGAGGCGATAAAAGGAAACAATCCATGGTCAAACTTAATGGAAAAATTGATTAGCACTATTGATTATTGCACCTAAATAATCTAATGTTCAAGGCACAAATGCAACATTTTAACGTGTAGCATTTATCAATCATTAAGAAACTGTCCCAATTGATTTTAGACTCAACAAGGAGAAAATAATTAATTAGATGATTAGGTATAATCAATTATCTTATTCTAAAAAGTTCCCCAATTGATTAGACAAACCCATAATCAGTTAGCTAGGCCTTAAAAATAATTTTAGGTGATTTTAGGAAATAAAGAGAGGTCTTAAAAAGGTTTTAAGGGTGTGTGTATAATGCCTTAGTATCTTAGGAGTTACTAGCTGGTCACTCAAACAGACATGACTATATGAGCTTTCACACTTTCTTTCTTTCACACCTCTGGAGCTTCAAGTTCATTTTTCAAATATACTGATCATATAGGAACTTTAATGGAACTATGAATCTTCTACTAGGTAAGGCTTGATATATCTTCAAGTTAATCTTCATCATCAAAGAGTTGAAAAGATATCACCATTGACTTTAACAAGCATTAATGTTATTGTAATCAAAACACCGAGACTTTCAAAAGCATCAGGATCATTAGCTTCATACTTGCAAGCACATAGATCCACAAATTAGACACCATAGATAACTTTTTTCCCTGATTTCATCATTGTGCAGTTGATTGATGTGGTGTACTATTGACCAATGATTCCCACAAACAACGTCAATGGTCATGCAAAGACCCGAGATGCTCATAATTGGGCTCACGATCGTGTTTTTTTAAGGTGAACTGAGGCGTACATGTGTTTTTTTAGATTCTATAATGGCACTGAGAGGTGGTATTGAATTGTGTAAAAAAAATCTTACAACGCAGGATTATTTGTATCAACTAAAATACAATAATGTGAGTATTTTTGTGTCCTCTCCACACGGACTAGTGCGATAATATAACTTATATGTGATACTTACTATTTTAAGAAGGATAAGTTTTAGTTTTAAAAGTGGTTTTGTTTAAGAACATAAAACAATAAGGGTAAACTAAGATAATAAAAATGATAACAAGTTGTTGGGGGTTATATTGGAATTATTATAACTATATGCATATCAATGACCAATTATACACATTTTAACATTCAACCCATATTATCAACTATTGCTCATCAACGTTATCCATGTCTGAAATAATGTTGCAATATCATTCGTATTATTTATTGATGGTCATTCTTTCTAATAACCAATACAATAACATTAAACTTAAACAATATATGTGAATACCAAATCTATATCTATCTCTAGATCGTGTCTTTTGATAGATAATAACCTAGGTGTAAACCTAAGAAAATATTCCAGCATTAGATAGATTGACAAGTAATGTTATAAATGATCGAGATATGTTTAGGTATAAAAATATTATTCTTAATCTAAGCCAAAGCGCACTTCTAAACATCAAATAGATTCACAAACATGATACAAATATAACAAACATTATGCAAAAAGTATAAATATTAAATATGTTTGATTAACTAAAATGAGCACAATTCCATAATTACATAAGTTACATTTAAGTCATAATAATGTACAAGTATAACTCCAACAAGAGATAACCTAACTACTCATAATTATAGTAAAAGGATAAAGTGAATAGAAGTAGAACCACATTGGACAATCTCTCAATCCTCAACAAACTCCACTTTGGCAATCCTCCAACTTGATAAATACTCAAGTTCTCACATATTGATACTATAATTGAATTATAAAACTAAACTTATATATATATATATATATATATATATATATATATATATATATATATATATATATATATATATATATATATATATATATATATATATATATATATATATATATATATATATATATATATATATATATATATATATATATATATATATATATATATATATATATATATATATATATATATATATATATATAATGCCTCTTTTTTCCCTGCCATTTGGACCATTTTTGAAAAAGCCCCTTTGTAAAAAAAATTTGGATTTCCTCCGTAACCTTTCAAGATTATTCTATACTCCTCCCCTCATTAAACCCAGTCAACTTAAAAACTGAGTGTCATTGACATGTATATAATTTTCATTTTAAATCATTTTCACGTGTGTAAATATGTAAGGATAATGATCAAATTACCCCCAATGCAAATCTAACCTAACATGTGAAATTAAGAAAGGGAAATCAAAATCCCTAAAACTATTGTCATTCATTCTTTTCTTCTTATCCTTCATTCTTCTCATCATCTCCTTCACTTTTTTTCGTTTTCCCCGTCAAAGTCAAACCATCATCTCTATTCCTCCATCGAGAATGAAAAAGTAAAAAATTTCTAAGTGAAGCATGTCTTCAAATGGAATAACTCATTTATGCCTTCGTAATCTATCTATGAAGATGTTTGTTTCCAAGTCAAATGCAAACCCTAGGAGAAAATACTGGATGTGCAAGTATTGGGGAAAAGAAGAAGATTATGAAATATTCCATTGGAATGATGAAATTTTTGGTCAAAGAGCAAGAGAAACGAGTCAAAATGAAGAGGAAATGATACACATATTGAGGAATGTTAGGAAGGAATTTGGGAAAGAGATTAGTCTCAAATACGTCCAAAAGAGTTGAAAGATATGAAGGAAAAATTTGAGAGCATAAGGAAGAAGATGAACATTGTAATAATAGTAGTAATTTGTTCTTAGGTTTTATTTCTAATATTTTTTGGTGCATTTAAATAGAATATGATGTAACAAGTTTGATGTGAAGAAATGTTGAAGTTTAATGTAATTTATTTTGAATGAATAATGATGAAGTGTTTATGGTTAAAAAGTTGACATTAATGGTTTATTTGGTCTATCTGGTTTATTTTGTTGCAGTAATTCTGGGACATAGTTTGGACATAACTTTTGTTGCATCTATCTAGTTTATTTTGTTGCAGTAATTTTGTGCCATAGTTTGGACATAACTTTTGTTGAAACTATATGGTTTATTTTGTTGTAGTAAACATACTAAATTAATGGCACTGGTACATGACAATAAACAGATGATAGCACACTTTCATGATATTATACTAAATCGATGATAGTGATACATTACAGTAAACACACTTCCAGGATAATATAACATAAAATAAATTACATTACATGTTGATCTAAATTGATCACATATTATACTCTACAAGATGATCCAAAATGAGCACGTATTGTGCATAACAAAGATGCTCCAAAATGAGCACATATTGTCCATAAAAGAGATGTTCTTAAATTACAATTTCCTAATAAGCATTATCAACTATTTCATAATAATCACTATTGAGTCAGTTGCCTTGAAATTTCATCCCATGACTTTATTTTCTTCACACAAGTACCAACTTTAGGGTCTTTATTTTATTCATCAACTAGCAATGGTGCACTTGAAGTTGATAAAGGCCCAACATTATTTTTAGACCTCCAAATAGTTTTCAACCTATCACTACTCCTCTTAGGTGCTTAAGGTTTCTTCTTAAGAACTTGTTTGTTCTTCTCAGCCTATTTCTTCTACTCATGATCTTTCTTCTTATGAGCATGTTTCTTCTTCTCACGTAATTTATTCTTCACCTTACTTGGAGTACTAAGGTTGAGAATAATTTTTTTAGCGAAATTTGTAGTATTACACGCTTTAGATTGTGGATATTGGAATGGCTGATGTTCAAATTCTGCCATCATCTCCTCAATAATTACATTGAAATCTAGATCATCATTAACAATTGATGACACCCCTTCACCAAAAGTTGATGACACCCCTTCCCTAACAATTGATGAGGCATTGGTCCTTGGTGTTTTCCTCTTCACACATTCAAAATGACATAAAAAATCAACAACCATACTAAAAAGTTAATAACAATACTAAAGAATCAATAACAATTACCTTTCTTTTTAATGCATTGGGATCCTGTTCAGTGCTCTGAAATTTCCTTGAGTCGTGGACAAATTTGTCACATTTAGTGCATCTATAAGCTACACCAAGCCACCTCATCCTTGACCCTGTCTCATCATGCTCTATAAACCTCAATTTCTTGGGCCTACCTAGACCTTTCTTATATAGTGGTGGTAACATATCTTCAACATACACTTATGGCCACATTTCCATACCATTGATTGGACTTACATTTTTCTCATAACACAATTATAAGCCTCCCTCATATAAAAAGAATCAACATAATATTTTGGGTTCAAATTTTGATACTACATAACAGACACAACATGTCTACAAGGTATCCCTACTAGACCCTAAAAGTAACATGTACAAGTTTTTTTTCCAAGATCCATAACAAACTAAAGTCCATTATATAAATGATAAACTTTCCACATGTCACTCATACTCCATGTTGACAGCCACTAACCACTCATTAAATTTTCTTTATCTAGTTTTTTTCCTTGGAATTGGAATGACCTTGTGTTTCCATTTGTCAAGCTTAAATAAACTTATAGCTACTCTATTCATTAGATAGTTCCTAATTCACTCAAACATTATAAGTATTGGTTTATCCCTAGGCTGTAATATGATACTATTAAATGACTCACTTAAGTTGTCCATTAATACATCACATTTTAGGTAAAAGATAAAAGAACGCTTACACCATACCTTGGTAGGTACCCCTAGCAGCCATTCTCATGCCTTCTTGTCTAGTTGCTTCAACGCATTCATCTTTTTCTCATATTCTTTAAAATAGGTAGCTTTGGTAGCCCCCATCAAAAGGTCTCTAACTACAGCACCACCACAAAACTTGTTCTTGAAATTGGCATACAAATGCCTTAGGCATATTCTATACTTAATTTGTTTAAACATCTCATTAAATACACTCATAAGTCCTTGACATTTGCATAAACACAAAATCAGTCAACAGATGTATCATGTTTACCATATACATAAAAAAGAAACTAATTGTAAGATTATACCCTTTGCTGATATGAGATAAAAGCATACTTTCTGTCTGCACCAATATCTTAAATAAGTAATTGTAAAAACCATTTCCAACTATCGCTTGTTTCAGTCTCCACTTCACCAAAAGCCAAAGGTTAGTACTGGTCATTTGGATCCCTAGCAATAACCATCATGTCTTTATTTGCTAGGTGTGTCTATCACCCACTTTACTACATAATGCTAGAAACCCACATTTACCCCTACACTCCACCCTAACCCTATAGCTTTCATTTTTAACAAAGTTGATCTCTCTTCCATTTAAAACAGACCGCTCCATAAATGCATCTTTGAATTCAAATAAAGAATTAAATTCCATACCTAGTTTATATTGAAAGTCCTTGTTCAACAACTCTCCTCTAAACTTCTCATACTTAAGATGTTTTTCATTGCCACTATCATCAGGGTCTGAGTTTTCAAATTCTTCACTTTCATACTTCACATCTTGACCTCCAACAATATTGGGATTCCTCTTTGAATAATCGCCTATAATTATTGTAGGAACAAACAAATTTAGTTTGGATGGAGATTTTCTCTTCTTTTATTTTTTGGTGCCCTTTACCTTGAATCTAAGTGACTTTCCATTTACCTTAACCCTATTAGCCTGATTTGGTCATTCCACAACAACTTTCAAAAATCCTTCATCTACTTCACAAGTTCTTTCTTCTTCAGTATCATCAATTATGCCTCTAACATCATTATCACTGCTAACATCACCACTACTTGTCATGCCTCAATTTTGTCCAGGGAATTTTAGACTTTCACGCATCAAAATTCATATAGTTTTGCTTGGAATAAAATTTCGGTTTTACAGACAGATCGGTTAAATCAATTATCAAATGCACGTGAAATTAGAAGGCAAAAAATTTAAAGATTGGACTTGCAGACGTCAGTTTATTGACCTACAACTCGCGTAGTTTAATCAAGCGTGCTCATTTAATTTTTTTGATCCTATTTACGGTCTCATTTTGATCAGTCTAAGCCTCTTCAACCGAACATTTTTTACTTTAAACTTTGATCAAAACATAAGTTTATTTCGCACTAATCATTTTAACGCATTCATTTTATATTTTGAGTTTTTTCGTGCCCGAATTTTATTCATTTTAATCCTTTTTTTTTCTTTTTATCAAATTGTTCAAAAAAAAAGGATCAATCAAATTTTTATTTTTATTTTATTGTGTTTATTAGAAAATGTGTGAATTTTATTTGTTTTAATGGATTTAAATTCGTTTTAGTCTCTTAATTATCTATAAGGGACAATGTGGGCATTTTTAAATTAAACTATAATATGTGTTTATGTGTTAATCTTAGCCATTGATTCCAAATAATCAAGGGCTCACACTTATTATTTATTTATTTACTTTATAACCAATCAAATAAAAGAAGAATAAAAAGTAAAATAAAAGATATGCAGCTCGCAAAAGGGTGGCAAGGCATGTAGTTGGCAAAACATGTATGAAAGTCTACCTCTCTCAACGTGTGAATTGAGGTGCAAGAATGAAAGAACTATTTTTTCATTTCACAACAAGCCAAACGCAACCTAAAAAAGAAAATACACTAAAACTTTCATGAGGATTCTCCCTCTCTTTGAAAATAAAAAAGAATATCATCGTTATCTTTTCTTAAAAGAAGGGAACCTTCTTCTCAAAATGAAAAAGAGAGAATGTAAAGGTTGAACACAAATTACCTCTCCTTCTTCAACACTTCGGACACCCACTTTTCTCCTTCAACTTTTCTCCTCTCCTCAATTGTTCATTCTAATTAGGTGTCCTTCTAAGGAAGCTTAACCCTAAGTCTCACATGCCTAGATCCTTCTAGTAGATTACAATTGAGAAGATGACATCCTCGATCTGACATAATGACAGTAACATCATCATTTGGTGAGCATATCATCTAACATTTTGTAGGCCCTTTAAACATTGGAAGTTTTTAGGAAACTATACATTGGGTCGAATCACAACTAATTGAACTTTGTGGTCGGGCCTGAACATTATCCCTTAACTTATCGGTAGTTAATTATCTAATTATGTTAACGGTAGATATCTGTTAAACTATCTATCATGTACCTGCAACGAGTTTTATCCGCGGGTGTCCATGGGCACTATGCCAGAATTGACTTTTAGCAGCGCATACAAAGACAGCGCTTTTAGAAAAAGCGCTGCTAAAGAGTAATTAAATAAAAAAATAAAAAAAATAGCATACCTAAGACAGTGCTTTTTTAAAAGTGTTGCTAAAGGGGGACCATAAGAAAGCGCTTTATTTAAAGTGCGGCTAAATGTATGGCCTAAGACAGCGCTTTTATAAAGCAAGCGCTTTTGTAAACGCTGTTGTAGGTGTAACCTACGAGAGCGCTTTCTTTATAAGCGCTGCTATATGTTGTAGGAAAGAAAGTGTTAGAACACAGATTGGTTCTTAATAATATCTCTTTGTTTTGATGATAACTATTAGGAAATTTTGTATTTAAGAATTATATACTCTAAAATTTGCTTGAGAGTTTTACTGCAGATTGTAATGAAATTAACACTCCATAAGCAAATCTGAATTGTATACAAGAAATTAACTAGACTCTGAAGCGCCAGATGCACTCATTAGAAGATTTTGATTGCTGCCAATAGAAGATCCTGAGCGTAGCCTCCAGAAGGATCTGAAGCAAGAAGCTCCAGAAGATTTTGAAGCAGAAGCTCCAGAAGAATCTGAAGCAAGCAGAAGCATCTGAAGCAAGTCAGAAGCATCTGAAGCTAAGAAGAATATGGTATGAAGAGTTTTTCAAAGCATAGTTTCTACAGAAGATTCTGAAAGTACTCAAGCTGCCAGTACTGAAGTTCTGTGTCAAATATGCTCTGATGATTAACACGCTGAAAGCACACATGCTGCAGAAGACTCTGATCCAGCAAGCTCTGATCACCATCAGAAGACTCTGACCCAATCAGACTCTGATGAACTTGCTGAAAACTGAAGAAGAAATATTCAAAGAATATATCCGTTGGAGTAAATCAACGTCTCTTTCCTCATTTATGCTAGACACAAGAACACAGACAAAAAGGATTTTTCTGTGCTTTCTTCTTCTAGGAAAGGTCACTTGATGTGAAGACAAAAAGGCTCAGACCTTTTTGGGACACTCTTCTCAACGTTCAGCTCCCTTGGATCAGCTGCCTATAAAAGGAAGACTCCACCAAATTCTTCAGTGAGACATTTTTGCTGAAAAGAATTTTGAAACATTCAAGCTCTCATATTATTATATTCATTCTTAGAATTATTTGTACTTAAACTTAAGAGAAACATCACTGTTGTGATAAAAGCTTTTTAGAAGCATTCTTACTCTTGTATTAGATTTACATTGATTGTAAAGGATTTCCTTAAGAGGATTCAGTTGGAATCAGTAGCTCTTGAGAAGACTAAGAACAGTTGTTCTTAGGTGTTACTATTGTAATCTGTTTGATTAAATAGTGGATTAAGTCCTTGTTGAGAAAGGCAAATCACTCTAGGAAGGGTGGACTGGAGTAGTTGAGTTCAACGAATCAGGATAAAAATAATTGTGTTTTTATTCTAAGTTTTTAATCTTCCATACTTATTCAACCCCCCTTCTAAGTATTTTCTCACCTTCAGTTGGCATCAGAGCTCCGGTTCTGTGTGTGCTACCACTTAACAGTGTCAGTAAAGATCCAGAGAGAAATACTTTGATATATATTTAGTTGTTACTATGGCTGATAATACAACATCCAACATTAACAATAAATATGAAGAAAGGGACAGAATCAGCACAAAACCCCCTATGTTTGATGGGGAGAAATTTGACTACTGGAAAGACAGAATTGAGAGTTTTTTCCTTGGATATGATGTTGATCTATGGGATCTTGTCATAGATGGATATGTCCATCCCACAGATGGGAATGTCAAGAAGATAGACAGAAAATCTATGACAGATGCTCAGAAGAAAGATTTTAGAAATCATCACAAGGCCAGAACTATATTATTGAATGCAATTTCTCATACTAAGTATGAAAAAATTACAAACATGGAAACTGCTTTTGATATGTTTGAATCCTTAAAAATGACTCATGAAGGAAACTCTCAAGTCAAGGAGACAAAAGCTCTGGCTCTGATCCAGAAGTATGAGGCCTTCAAGATGGAAGACT